TTTCAACTGGACCACGGCCAATCAGAGAGGTCCCGCCCCTTACTATCTCTGATTGGTTTAGTCCACGATAGGGGCATAATGTGTGTCTGTTGTTGACTACAGGGAAGGTTGCAGATTTTTTTTTTTTTTTTTTTTTTGCTACCCGAACAGTTGGTCGCACAGGTGCAACCAAATTTTTTTTTAGTCGCACCACTGAAAAATTTGGTCGCATTTGCGACCAAATTGGTCGCCCTCTAGAGCCCTGATTATTGTTGAGTGATGACTAAAAGGCTTGTTGAGAAATGATAGGTATGTGTGGGTGCGAAATGCTGGGTGCTTTTAATTAAAAAAATGAAAGGACTTAAGTTTGTGTGAGCCAAACAACTTTAACAAGAGCTCAGCAGCACAACAAGCATCGACTTCGTACATCTACTTTTCAAAACAGAGATCTGCCAGCCTTCTACAACTGAGGTTAATAAAAGCCCCATTTACTTTTTTATGAAAAAACACACAAACCAGATGCAGTGCCCCCAGGCATTAGTGTATCCTAAGTAACCATGATAATAAATATTAAATCTTGTTTAAGAATCTTTCTTATATATTTATTAATACTAAAATCTCTAAATTTCACACACACTATAACTTTATCTGCCAGCTGTAAACACTGATTGAATCCTAATGGAACAGACCTGAGGGGTGTACTATGAAGTGAGATTAGTGTCTTAGCTATGCTAAGCTTAAAATCAGAGGGTTTTGGTTTTTTTTGTATCATGAAAGAGGCTCCTTTCTCACCTGGCTAAGTCATAGTGGTAACTTTAACATTTCATTTACAGCATGTTTTACATTAAGTGCATTATAGATTCTCTGTTGGGCAGATCTGTTTTATATGTGGAAGTTGTTAAGCCACACCTTACTAAAACCACCACCAAATGAAGTGCACACCACAATATCACAGGAAGGTGCATAAATTAATTTAGTGATGCCAAAAATGTATAAATGCCATTATAACTGATCCTAATCTGCTGCTAAGTCTATTTTACACTGCTGGAATTGCAGCTACTAGAAGACAGAACACACACCAATATTACCTGTTCAGTGAATGAAAGTAATTTCACTTTGATCTGTTGACAAATTTCCTTTATTGGGCTATGGGACAGTAACCTTTAATGTTCAAACGTATCCAGTTTAAAGTTTCAGAAGTCTAATGTGCAGCCAACAGCATAGAAACAGACAGCAGTGCTGAGAGCGCACGCAGCAATAAAATGATTAACTCGCATTGGAATTGTTTATTTTACTGCTCTGTGCGCTAAAGCGCCAGATTACTGATTTTCTGAAGCATTAATCTCGTCTCTTATTTGCGACAGTTACATTTTACTTTTAGATTTTTTTTATGGGCTTTATAGATTTTTATCATCATCATCTGATAATGTCTCTGCTTGGAATAAGCAGC